AATCTCTTAATCTTAATCTTAATCTCTTTATCACTATATAGGATAAGCAAAAGTGTATAATCAGTTGCTAACCAAAAAGATCCCACATATTATTTAATTGTTAATATTACGCATTTAAGCTTTCTCCAAAAGCTCAGAAATGTCGATCATCATGACTTGACTTTGATTGACCCAATTTGGATTCAACACAATCATTTTCACTAATTGTTGTTGACAGAAACACCTGAAATAATCATCGAGTTATTAGATAAAAAATAACACCGTCATCATTCTGGTGTAGTTAGTTAAACTTTCAAATTAACTGTATTGTATTTTTGAAAATCATGATATGGCGGATGTTGAATCTTTTGTAGGTACTTTGGAGATTTGCCTACACGATGATAAAATGAAGAGAACGTACAATGTTCATGGAACAAAAATTAATAAAAATACCTAAAAAAAAATCTGATAACTAACTTAAGTTGTTTCTAAGCCAAATCACTATTTAACATAATTCTTGTATAGGTTTTTAAAAATTTAATTCAATTTTTAAATATTTTTTTAAATTACCATTTGTTCAATAAATGGCAAACTATGGAAACCATTTTCACCTTGCAATAATTATTATGAGGTTGCGCATAATTATACTATATTATACTGATTTTAATTTAATTTAGAATTTGAAAAATTGTATGCAGCATATCATTATCAAATGTTCCAAAATGTATCTAATTACATTGCTTCGGCTTTTAACTAATTAGAAACTATTTGTGTTAAAAGCCTTTAAAAAGTTCACTTTATATTATCCATGTCAACATATTATAAAGATAAAAGCTCCTAGTATTTGTCACTTCTAATTTATAGACTAGTCTAGTAGCAACAATAATTAGACAACTTAAGACTTGTTTTAAACCAATCAATATATATATATATATATATATATATATATATATATATATATATATATAATTGGAATTAAAAAAGAGGGTTTTTATAGCAAAATTCTTTGTTAAACGTTTCGATACTTAACGTGTGTCATCATTCAATAATCGAACCAGAAAAAACACAAAAGCAAAAAATTGATTATAAACACTAAAATTGTGTTAAACAATACCATAATTCATGAATAATTAATAAAAAAAATTAAAAATTAAATTAATAAATTATAATTTTATATAAATTATAAAAATTTAGAAATTTAAATTTTGGACAGTTCTGTATATGAAGACAACAAAACACTGCGAGGTAGAAGTTGAGAATGTTTCTCGAAAATTTAGTATAAATAGATTTCTGATTTGCATTTGATTCAAAACAAAATTGTTATATTATATAGAGATTATATTTGTCATAAATTGGATAAAAAAGTTTGATAATTCAAGAAATCAAATGTGTAATAAAAAATTCTATCGTAAAGAACTAAATTTACATATAACTTATAGTCGATATCAGTTTAGTGCATATTTTATATATTAATTTGTCATTCACATTTAAAATTCAAATTTCAATCAAGTGTATTTTAATAGAAGCCACAGCAAGCCGTGGCCGGGTATGCTAGTATATATATATATATATATATATATATATGTGTGTGTGGGTTTATATTATTACTTCCAAGATAACAGTTTCTATAATTGTACTTTCTTATTTCGGGAAAATTTACTACCTAATCAATATCATTTTAACCCATGCTGTCGCACGATGTCGCTACCGTATCGTATTCGTTTAAAGCTCGACTTATCAAACAGGTTTTTGAATTAACTGCTGCTGATAGTAGCAAAAATAAACAGTTATTTGTATGCAATATGATTTATAGTCAATTTAGAAATTAGATAGATTGAACGTATATCTTACAAACACTTTATAATAAAAATCAATTACCTTTGGAATAAATTATTCTTTAAAGATTTATTCTCGTGCGCAGGCATGCTGCTACTCCATGCTGCTTTATCTTGAAAACATTTTGTAGAAATAAGTTTCGTAGTAATAATTATTTTATATATCATGTATAAAACACAAAAATCAATATATAATGTACTATGATTATAAAATATTTAGGCAGTAACTATTTTGGTTTCTAAGTTAGTTGTCAATTGCACAACGTGAACTAATAGGCAATTATAAATCTTCTACAAATATGAAATATACCATGATCGAGCTGAAAGATGTTCATTATAAATAATTAATTTTTGTTAATCAAATTATATTTATTTTAATATATGTTATGAGATTTCAATACGTCAAATTTTTTTTTTCTATTATTTACAACTGTCCAGTTAAGGAGATTTAATACATTTGTGGAATTTACAATTGTCGGCCGTAAAGGGACATTGTATACTAGAGGGACATGTTGGAAAAACAACTCAATAGTTGTTTTCCCATTCGATATAATATTCACAATATTTTATTGATAATTATATAATTCTAACTATTTACTTATGAAATAATTTCTTATAAATAATGACTAAATTATTTGAATTTTTTATCAGGAAAGTTGATGACTTAAATTTAGTGCCGCTTTTCTTTTCAACCTTCTTGGATAGTTCTCTGTTATTGAGGAGTTTGCTAGTGAATTTGGGTGACTGATGAGCTTGTTTCTATATTTATGTGCTGTTTTTGTTATTACACCAATTATGGTAAGTGTATTCGTGTTGACATGAATCTACCAGTTGGGAACATATTTTGGTGCTCCTAAGACAATTTTCAAAAATTTGATCTGCAATATTTAAAATGACAATATAATTTTATGTGCTGAATTATCCAATACAATTATTTAATACCTCCAGCAGAATTTAAATTCTTACGATAAATACTAAAAAGCTAATTAGTGGTGTATTTTATATTAGTAGATGCTCTATAAAATATCAGTTCAAGTTTTGCTTAGTTTTGTTGTAATAAATTGAATATATATATATATATGTATGTATATCGAAAAATATTCTTCTTAATATTCGATTCTGCATTCGTATCCGATATGCATGTCATTAAGCAAGGAAATTCCGCAACAAAAACCACACATCATTCGCCTTTATGAAGCAAGATTTCATTTATGTTGATTTCATTTTCTTTTCTACACCTAAGGCGATGTTTGCTATGGGTTTTGAGAACGCATTCCTCCTCAATGTTGGCACTTGAAACGAAAACAAATGCAAGATAGTTCTCTATCTATGCAACTATGAAATAGACAAATGATAAATTATTTGAGTGATATCATGTTAAACAAATTATTTTAACATGAAATTTTAATACGATATTTTTTTTATAAATATGCAAGAAAGATAAACATAATCAAATTTGTTCCGCTAATTTTCACTCGTAATGTATGATCAATTTTAAACTGTGTGAAATCACTCTTACAGAAAGTAAATGTGTCGTTTATATTTTGAAACAATATGTAGAATATTTGTTGATTTAGGTAGGCAATAAGTTTATAAAGAAAAAAAATTTGAAAAAGTAAAAAAAGTATTAAAAAAATGAGAAAAGTAAAACATAAATGCTAGTAAATATATCAACCTAAGGGGCCAATTCTCGAATAAAATAGGAATGCAATATAATGATCCGTAATCATTCGTATGTGTTGGTACAAACTGTCAAAAAGCTATGTATTTGCTGTGGACTCAGTAACTTTACATATGAATCCTAACCTCCAAAAGCCACAAACGTCAAAATATTAACTTTGTCAAAATCAGGTTGTTATTCGACATTTGTGCTTTTTTGAGGTTAGATTTTTGTGTGACACGCCTGAATGCAAAGCAAATATATACCTTTGTGAAATTTTGTGAGGCTGCGCCCATTAATCACGAGATCGATTTTTTAAAGATTTTTAGACTTTTTTTTAGATTAGATTTGATATGTGGTGATATTCAAAATTAACCCCCTCTCCTCTCCCACCAAACATCACGTGTATTTTTAGTTACGTGAAAAAATGGTTAAGTTTTGGATTTTTTGCAAATGTTTGGATTTAAAAAAAATCAGGTAAAAAATAAATGCACGTGATATCTTACTATACCCCTCCCTGCCCTACGTAATATTTCGTGATTTTTTTTCAAATTCCCCCTCCTCCTAAAAACCTCACGTGATTAATGGACGCCCCTGACTACCAACTCATACGTTTATAGACCTGTATCTTAAAATTTCTATTTTATGAGATTTGGCCCCTAAATTTATGCCCTGGAGTATGAGTTTTGAAGCGATCACACTAACTTATGGACACAACTAATATAAGACAATTTATGACAAAAAATGTTAAGATTATTTTAATAGTAAAATTTTGTTCTTATTTTTTTATATCTCGTGGCAACAGACAGTCGCTCATTATATAGAAGACGTTAAATCAGAAATGTATTTTTATATTTTTAATCAAGTCTTCTCATAATACAAAAAATGATCATTAAGTTGTAAATTTATATTTTTAATTTAATTTAACAACATTTTTGTATTTATATACATTTAACATTTACATATCGGTTTTAAATTCAAGATGTAAATTTTTACACAAATTAAAACTATTTATTTTTCTACGTGGAACAAAAAATGTTGTTTTATAATTATCTATTATTTCAAGGCCAATAAGCATTGAAAAAGTATATAAATAACTTTTCCAAATTTATGTGCTGGCCGTCTAATTAATAAAAATATGTTTCAATGCCGAAAAAATATAAAAGATAAAATTGGATAACATTCCCAAACCTTAATTATAGTATATATACATTTATTTAATATAAGAAGTAGATGTTTTCAAAATGACGATTTCGTATTTCTTTTAATTAGAAAAGCATCAATAATATTAATTCTATAGGTGAAACACTATAAAAACGTTTCGATTCTGCTGAACTCAAAACATGTCCAGTAATTATTTACTATGTTGGCCTGAATTCTCCATATTTGTCTATAAATTCTTGAGTTACATGGTCTGTTCCATACTCGTAAAAAATGCTAGGTCACTACTTATTTACAGTAATACTTTCAACTTTTCTTGAAAGTTTTTTCCTTCTGCACGAGTAATTAAATTATTTATTGTCAACATGGCAATTTTCTATATTTGTTACTTCGCGTGGCTCTACCCATCCATCGCAAAGAAAAGTGGTGTTAAAGAGGTCGCGATCCGACGTTGTCCTGATTTTCCACGAACATGGAACAGTTCAAAGTTCAAAAGCCCTGTTGAATTGTTCGCTGCAATTTTCCGCATGATTACTGCACATAGATTATATTACATTTGCCATAGTAAGTCTATTTATGTTACAAAGTATATGAGTTTAACAAAATGCAAATCACGCTGTCGTCATATAAAAGTGAAATTGTAGCTAAATAATACAGAACAAAGCAGTAGAATGCTGTGTACTTTTTCTAAACGAAATACCATCACAATTGATGAATCGTCAAATTGTTTTTTTTTTTTTAATAAAAACAATTGTTCAAAATTTTGTTAAGAGTCTTAGAGCCAAACGTTTTTGAAATATCTAATAACAAATAAGCTATGAAGGTTTATGCAAATTCTGCATTGATGGAATTAAAAAGCAAAATTTGAAATCATTAATTCTAATATATGATAAATCAAAATATAAATTTATGGAGTTAATATTAGTATGGCCGTAAATATAAATAAATGCATTCAAATATTAAACTGTTTAAATTTACTTAATTGAATTTAGAGATTTAAGAGGCCAATTCTGGGGTAAAATGGAGCAAAACACAGCGTTGTTATGGAAACGCTATGTTATGCTTATTTCCTGGTACTAAAAACTATAAAACGGCGTTTTATACATAGAACCATTTGTTAAAAATGCACATTACAAAGATGCAGTTATAACATTTTCTAGGTTCAGTTTTATATCTACGCCTGACTGCACAGCAAATTCATGGCATTATCATAGTTTTTAGTACCAAAAAAGAAGCACATATAAAAATAATAATATGAATGTATTTCTCTAACAAGTGTAGACGTTAACTGTAAGCGGATGTACTTTTCAGTTTTTCCAAATTTACGGTCAAACGACTTAGAATGACTCAAACGTCGAAAATATTGAATTGTATTGTTGATAAACATTTTCTGTCGAAAACATAAATATCTCCTTCGGGAGGCTGGAGAAACATAGAGTAATTCATTGTTATTTAAATATAATAATAAATTATTATTTATTTATTAATATTTGAGAACAAAAATGTAGATACGCCAGGTGTATTACACCTAATCGTAAATTAATTTTATCATTCACTTGTATATATGTAGGGGGAAGTTTCCTAGTGGCGGACACCTAAGGTTATTTATAAATATATTACGAAATGTTTATTAAATTATGATTATGATTTATGTTAGATAACAAAGTTAGAAATCAAACTAAATTAACAAAAACCGCAATCTTTGCTAAAAAATAATTAATACTATCAATCAAACTTTGGCATAAAAAATATGAGAAAGAGTTACTCTCCGCGTGGCCGTGTGCGTCACAGGCGAGGCCCCAGGCCCCTTTCACTTGTATTTTGAAATGAAAAGATTTATACTCGCTTAAATAATGCTTGTTAAATAGAGTGTCCGGTGCTTTGTGGCGTCCGGCGTTACGGGACTTTCCCCTATATAATTGCACACTCTTGTCAGGGTACCGATCGGTATTCAATTCCGTTTGTCGGTTTTAAAAATCAGGTTTAAAAAATAGGTCCCAGAAAATAATATCACTCTTATTTTATATTGATTTTTTTCGCTTAATTTTTCGTTAATATAATTGCACACTCTTGTTAGAGTACCGATTGGTATTTGAATACCGTTTGTCAATTTTCAAAACCGGTTTTAAGAAATAGGTCCCAGAAAATAAAATCACTCTTAATTTATATTGAAATTTTTCACATACTTTTTGTTAATTTTTTTTTTGTCAAATTTTGTGACTAACAGTTTTTTCATAATAGCTCGCAATTGATTAAAACCAGTCTCCCGAAAAACTTCTTTAGAAAAACCGGTTCTCTAAAATGTCGGTTTTTTAAGAAACCCTAGTTAGTCCAGTCATTATAGTAAGTTCACCTCGGAATTCGAGATATCCAGCTGTAAGTTTGTGGCAGGGTGTACGTACCATTTGTAGGTTTTGAGACAACTTCTAGGGTGTCAATATAAGCACTTACAGGCTTACAGCTGGGTATCTCGAATTCCGAGATTCTTACCTAATTTAAGCTTAAATGACTGGACTAAGTACTGAATGATTTATTTTATGTCGGCTATAGTTTTTATTCTTTTGCAATTATATGAGGTGTTTATATATAAATATTTTATCAAACAACCTAGTAAACTATCTATGTTCATTTGCCTTATAAAATCAATTCGAGTTTTATCGCGATAAAGCAGAACTACTGACGGCGTATGAGTTTATTTGATTTTAGCATGAGATTCGGAGCAGTAAATAGCCCGCCCACGTTAACGAATCGAATCAGAGGTCGCCATTCGTATTTTGCTGACCTTTTGCAAATAATGCTTCGGTACAACTGAACAATGTTCAGGGTCAAATGGGCGAAAGGGTGAAATATTCACAAGAAAATTTGGAGAAAATTTTATACATTAATTTATACGCAGTAATCAACTTTACATTTGGCGTATAATAAATAATATGTGACATTATTTTAGATCATCTTCACATAAATGCTATGGTGAATTCTTTTGCTTCAAATATTCAGACCATCATGATGAATCATAAAACATCCCATTCCGATATTAGGGTAAAATCGATAGTAATTATGAGGCTGTAAAATCTCTTTCGTGTGATGCAATATTTTATATACTTATAAACTCTCCCAAGGAGAAATTTATGTTTTCGTCAGAAAATTCCACTTGCTAATTTTATGTTCTCGACGTTTCGATAGGGTCAGAAATTTTTAAGACAAAAACTGAAAAACGTATGTGTTTGTCTGAGCAGAAATTTTACATTTTATTTTTGTTTTTTTCCAAACAAACTTGGAAAAATTTTCGAGATTTTCCAGATTTCCTTATATATTTCAAAAATTTTAAATCCACTAAATTGAAACTCAGTAAGAAATTAGCTTTACGATTTAAAAAAGTGCAAAATTTATGCCTAGGCTTTTTTTTAAAAAAAATCTGAATCAATTTTGCTAATTTAAAAATTATTTGAAATATATTAGTTCGGAATCGTGCAGTTTTCGGTAAAGTTTGGAATAATGCATCGCATCAACATTTCAAAATTGTATTGTTGAAGTTTTGAAAATTGCTAAGTCTTAATTCATGTAGATTAAGTTGCAATCAAAATGCTGCTAAAGAGTTATAATCTTATTAGATTATATAGTAGTATAGCAAATAAAAAAGTAAATTAAGTAAAAAATGATATTTTACAAGAGATAAATTTAATAATTAGTTATTCCAACTCTGCTGCTCAAGCTTATTTACAGTGTAGTCCTTATATGCTCCATAAAAATGCTCCAATTAAATTCAAATTTTGCATTGTTTGAATAATTTCTTTTTTTGTTATAATTTATTTTTATTAATCAAGATTTTAATGTCTTATTTACCAAAATTGGTTGAATAATGTAGCTATTATTTTGTAAAATCCCTTTAAATTTATCCTTCCTATGGGGTAAAAAAGACTTGGTCACACATTTTTGAAAAAAAAACAGATTTCTACATTGATAGCTGGGAGTTTTACTGAAAATATTCTTCATGTGTAAAATTTTTAGTTGTTTGTATCAATGTATAAAACAATAAAAAAATTATTAGTTCAGAAATTATAAAAATATAATGCATTTTTATCAGTTGCAATAAAAACTAAAATGCGCGTAAAAAGTAAATGCTCTTAATCCATTTATATTTTACGCACATGTTAACTATCGAATATTTGATGGTGCATATAGCCATAAAATACTTTCTGAACTAAATGAATAAGTATAGAGAGCAATACAAAAATTTGAAATATATCAAATCTTCTAATGAATATATTGATCTTCATCTTTATATTTTACATTTTTGCATTGTTGATCATTATGACCTAGTCGCAAAACCAATTACTATAAAATCTAGTCTCAATGCGAACAATGTTGTTATCGTATTATTATATTTTTAAATAAATCTTTATTTTTCCTGATTCAAAATTGCTTTCCACATCATATTATTATATTTATAATAACACGAAATTATAATCAATCACGTATTGTGCCTCGACGTGTTACTGTACTCAACGACAATTATATTATCTTTACAATTTCTCTCGAATGAAATCAATTGATATCTCAAAACAAATCGCGTCACATTTCTCATAACGATTGCATATACGGTAACCGATTTTATTGAAATAATAAAATAATTAATAACAAAAGCAAACGTAAAATTACAAATAAACATAAAAATTACAAATGGGTCCGTATAAGATACGAATCGAATAATTTCATTTTATTACTGTGAAATCTAATTTTAAACCATGAAATTTTAGAAACTAATTGAAAAGGAACTTGCAAAAGGTAATTACAGGAATGGCCTTCGGTGAAATTGCAATTAGTAGCAAAAACACTTACCTCGCGTATTTTAAAACTTGCGGTTAATTGATTTGAATTATTTGCCGCAAATTGCTTTCAACATGTAAAAATTTTATATATGTGCTTGTATTATAGTAAAATTGTATATGATATTAATTTAGTAATAATAATTTGAAAGTAAATCATATCAAATTTTCATAATTGTTTTGTTTAATGTAAAAAAGCTCGATTGGACACCAAAAGAATGTTGCAATTTTGTAATTATCTAGGAGTTGCCTTGGTTTGATTTTTATATTTTGTTGTCCAAAAATACTTTGAGGAA